AATTTGGTGTATCTTAGCATGTAATCTTAGAAGATTTTAATGACTCTCAGATAAAAAAAAAAGTGAGCATATATTCCAAGCCAGGAGTGTCATCATACCAAAGGGAGAGGTCCTTGCTCCAAGCAGAGCCAATTAACATCCTTCTACTCATGCGTGAATACTCAGGGAACCTGCAGTGTGGTCATTTCCTGTGGGATTTAGGACCTGAACAACCAAGAAGCCCTGAGATGTGAGCAAGCCATCTTTCTTATCTCCTGCAAATTAAGTCAGTCCAAAGAAGAGTGATAGTGAAGGACGAGCAAAAGGGTTAGTGACCACTGTCAAGTTCCTGAGTACAACTGTACTTTCCTCTTGGAATTTTTAGTTACATGAGTTAATAAATTCCCTTTTTTTTTCCCATTAATTTGAGGTAAGGTTTAATTATATCACTTGGCACCACGATATTCCTGCCCAAATAGAATAAAATTTCTGTATATCATGGTTCTATGACAGTGGATCTTTTACTGCTTATGGCCATAGAGCTTAAATTTTTGAAGGAAAAAACCTAAGGTTGAGTTTTTAAATTACACAATGAATGCCTTAGTTCAGGTCTCCATAACAAAATACCATGCACTGAATGGCTTACATAATATTTATTTCTTACAATTCTGGGGGCTGGAAGTTCAAGTGCAAGGTACCAGCAGATTCTGTGTCTGGTAAAAGCTGTCTTCCTGCTTGCAGACAGCCACCTTCTTGCTATATCCTCACATGCAGAGAGAGAAAGAGAGCATCTCTCTCAATTCCTTTCTTATGATGACATTAATCTCACTCCTGAAGTTTCCACCCTCATGACCCAGTTGCCTCCAAACACCCCACATCCAACTACCTTCACATTGGGGATAAGGGTTTCAACATATGAATGTAGGGGAAACACAAACATTCAATATATGACAATTAAAATAACATGAATTTACAGGCTTGTAGATCTCATGTGAAATTTAGGAAAGTGAGATACCAATTATTAGGAAAAATGAAATATATTGGAAGATATGAAAGATTCAGAGCACCCCTAACTCTCAGATGCTCCTGAAACTCTCATTGTGCCTGTGTTTCATGATGAAATCATGATTTCTTTGTTTACTGTAGTTAATCGTTGCCTTAATTTCCCACTTTTCACTTTAACTTCAACCCTGATATGGCTCGGTAATAAGAATAAAAAAATTAGAAAGTTATTTCCTTAAAGCACAGTAGAGTACATAGACTAGTGTCTTAGGGGCTGGATGTGGGCAATAAAGGAAGGGGACTCTACATTTTGTATTAAAAAAAAAAAGAAACTAGACTATATTGAAAATCAGGTAATTTTGCCCACTAATTCACATTTCTAGTTTCTCCTATGAGTCCTAATTTCTGGTCAAACTTGATCTATGTATTATGCATGGCAACAAAAGATTGGAAGGAGTAGCAGAAGGAGAAGGCATATACTCTTTAGTTTACAATCAACATCATTTCCCCCCCACCATTTTCCCACTCATTCATGTTATCTTCTGGGTTCTAGGAGGTTTGTAACCATAATAAAAAGGGAAACATCCAAAAACTATCTGTAGATAGATATGCTTAATTCTAATAACCCACCACTTCCCCATGTCTACAAAGCCTAGATGACTGTCCTTTAACATTTTCCATAAAGAATGGATTTTTATAAAAGTCTTTTTTCCCTAACTACAGTTGACTGAAAACTCTATGAGGAGGCACACAGTAATTAAATTATATTTCTGACCTCAAGGAAGATGAAGAAGCCCAGTCACCAAAGTGATAGCAAGTAAACTCCTGAAGTAAGGCGATAATTAATATTTTTAGAGATTTAGTGGAGAGGGGTGGTGGTGGTAATTATTGCATGACAAATGGTCAAAACAGAGGTGACATCTGTGGGAACTAATCATTATATCCATAGGAAAAATTTAATGGCAATTTCATCAGGGTTATTTTTTATATAGAAATATAAAAATATTTTGGTGAACAGAATCTGTCTGATAAACAGACTTCTGGCTCAAGCTACCAACAGAGAGTGATGATCCACCCCAATTTCTGAATAAGAATTAATTTATGGATCTATAATTCTTGAATGTAGAAAAAAATCAAAGTTCTGTAGGAAGCATCCTCCTATAATATCGTATTTCCAATCCTGATCCTTGTATTCAACCTATGAGTTTTGGAGCATTTACATAAAGAAATAAACTAAGTGATCTTCTTACAGACTCTAGGATCCATTCTCTGTCTTACCACTCATTACTTGGAGAATGTCCTGATGATTTGTGGTTCATATTGGGATTTCTTTGAGTCAGTAATAACTGATATTGCCCCCAGTTTGTCTCCTTCCAAGCCTATCCAAATCATTAAGGTAAGTCCTCTGCTCAGAGTGGGAATAGATATACTGAGAAACTGGTTTAATCCCCATATTACCTCCCTGATATATGGAGTAAAAAGGTCAAAAACTACTGAATATAAACCATTCTTATGTCTCCTTCTGTAATAAAATAATAATTTTGCTTCTCTGGGGAAATTGCAGAAACTGTTAAAAACTAAAAGACATAAGGAAAGTGAATTGTATCATTATTCCATTTCCCCATTTGGCTTTTTTATTTTAAGATTTTATTTATTTATTTGTCAGAGAGAGAGAGAGAGAGCACAAGCTGGGGGAACAGTAGGCAGAGGGAGAGTAAGGCTCCCCACTGAGCAAGGAGTCCGATGTGGGACTTGATCCCAGGACCCTGGGATCATGACCCGAGCCGAAAGCAGATGCTTATAAGACTCAGCCACCCAGGAATCTCCCCATTTGGCCTTTTCAAAAGCTTCTTGGAAAGTAAGAGTAGATTATTACAAATTTAATGAGGTGGTGACAACTCATTTTTAAATTTTTATTATTAATGTAACTAATGTTATGTTAGTTTCAGGTCAACAACATAGTGATTGGACAACTTTATTACATTATGTTATGCTCACAAGTATAGCTACCACCTGTCACCATACAACACTATCACAATACCATTGACTGTATTCTCTGTGCTGCATCTTTTGTCCCCTCGATTTATTCATTCCATACCTGGAAGCCTGTATCTCCTCCTCCCTTTCACCCATTTTGCCCATCCTTTCCACCCAAATTATAGGTGGTATTTTAAATATAGTGTCACATAAATCCTTGATCCTTGCATTTTTGTCTCCATCCTGCCTTTCAAACTAAAGAAAGAGAGGAAAACAATACCAGAAACCGTTTGCTTTCATCTTTCAAACCGAGGCTTACACCTCATGGGACAGTTTAAGGACAAGTCTACTCTAGTCTTGCACCGCAGTTTAGACTGCAAGAAACATGACTATCTTATTCCATGGCTCACTGTGCATTCATTAAATTGATGACTTTATTTCCTTTTTAAAAAAAGATTTATATATTTATTTGAGAGAGAAAGAGAGAGAGCGTGAGAGCAGGGGGGAGGGGCGGAGGGAGCGAATCTTCAAGCAGACTCCCTGCTAAGCGCAGAGCCTGATGTGGGACTCGATCTCACAACGCATGAGATCATGACCTGAGTGGAAACCAAGAGTCAAATGCTCAACCGGCTGAGCCACCCAGGCACCCCTTGATGACCTTATTTCTATAGGATTCATAACACAAGAAATATCAAGTATCCTTGAGGGCTTGGGAAGTGATCTGATGACAGAAGCTGGTAGATAAATTTTATGAAGACACAGGGGCCTGCACTCTCCATTAATTTCTTGCAGGTCCAGTAGTCTGAGTATGTGACAAGCCTTCTCTAGATTAAAAAAGAAACAAAGTTGTTTTACCATGTACTTCTTGACACTGAGAGAAGGTGGAAGACCCAATGCTAAGTGGCTTTCTTTTCATTTTCAAGACAAAAATTTCATGTTTGGGTGTTATGCCTATATAATATATATTATAGGTAGGACGAAGAGCAGTTGATGGCTTAGGCCATGCTACAGGAAGCCTTCTCACATATGTTATCACTTGGTAGATAGAGTGGCTCTTAAAGGGTCATGGCATGTTGGGTTGGTTGGGAACCTGGAATATACCCTAAAAAGTACATCACACCTGGGGCTTCTATGATGTCAGAACAAGTGAGGATTGTCATGTTGAGAAAGAGCTCCTCCTTGGGCTCTGGAGGATACTGAAGAGCCCACCCCAGCTACTAGGTGACTGTGTGTGCTGAGGTGACTCTTTAAATGGTTCTGACCTAGTCTACCTACCTGTAAACTCAGTTATAATCAGGTGGGTTGGGCCCAAATAGGTTCTGATGGCACTGATAAATTGTATAACCGGGTCATTCAAATTCCCAGTGCACTCACAAATGCCACAGAGACGTGGGATGTCCTTATGGGAAATAGTCTGTAAACAACTGACTTCAAATGAATGATCTTGAACCACATTTATAATTTGCCAGCATCAGTCAGAAGTGACATTTTAACTTTGTTTCATTAAAATGTGATTGAAGGGGGCGCCTGGGTGGCTCAGTCGTTAAGCGTCTGCCTTCGGCTCAGGTCATGATCCCAGGGTCCTGGGATCGAGCCCCGCATGGGGCTCCCTGCTCCACAGGAAGCCTGCTCTTCCCTCTCCCACGCCCCCTGCTTGTGTTCCCTCTCTCTCTGTGTCTCTCTCTGTCAAATAAATAAAATCTTTAAAAAAAAAATGTGATTGAAGGTATCATAAAAAATTTGGTGAAAACAAAATGTTATATACATACTCTTAAAAGGATTGTGTAAATGCTGGTGAATGGAATAATGACAGAAAATATGGACTGTGCTTTAAAATTGTAATTTATTGAAAAAAAAGGAAAAAAATCTCAGTCATTGCACACAATTATATGGAATGATGGCACTTACAGAAAAAGCAATTCAAAGACTTTTTACACAAAATTTCCATAATAGAAACTTAGTAAAGACTTCAATACCTTCTGTTTCAGTGGCCTTCATACTGGCATGATACAACTGGAATTTAGACAATAAACTGTTAGGAAAATTTAGCTTAAGGAAAATAATGATAATTCTATGTAATACACAGTAGAGAACTGAAAAAGGAAGATTGCCCTCAATTTGGTATTGTCCTATTCTAAAATAACAGTCAAAGCCTTTGGATAAGATGGTTTTACATGGTAGATAGGAGAAATTTAGAGAATGGAATTTTCAGTCACATCTGTAAATAGAAAAGGAAATATGTGGTTAGCTATACTACATGTTTAGAGTTGAAGAGACACTTTTATGATATGCATATTTTAGTTGTCATTTTCTCTTCATTTTAAAATAAAGTTCACAGTGTTATTTGTGTTTTCCTGCTGCTGACAAATATATCCATTGCTCCTAATTTTTAAGTTTTGAAAATTTTTTACTAGATAGTATTTTCCTTTGCAGTAATATAAAAGATATGGCAAGGCAATTAGAAGAAAAAGCTTTCATATGGGTCAGGGTTTTATCATTTTCTTTAGTTTGATCTGTTGAAAAGGACGTTTCCGCTATTGTGAAGGGAAACACACATACATGCACACATGCACACACAACTAAAAGCTCCAATATAGAAGATGAAGGTGATTTTAAAAAAATCCATTGACGTATCAGTCTGTTTGCCTGTTGAGAGATAATCACTTGGCTTCACTATGTGACTTGCTAAGGACTTCTACTGCAGTGATCACAAAGAACAGGATACAACTGTTGGGCTCACCTGTGTCTCAAAATCACATCTTCATAGAAAATTAATAACATCCATACTCCTATACTTGAATAGGAGTTTCAGTATGATAAATTATAGTAGATAAAATTAGGTAATTTTTAAGTTGCTGTTTAAATATAGTATGACCAGGAAACAAATTTGCAAATTTCTAAGCCAATGTAATTATTTAAGTGCTAATGTGTTCACAAGTAGCTAGACTTCAGCAAAAAGAAAAAGAATTATAGCCTACAATCATATCTTTGTACTTTGTCTTCAAATGGAAATGGGATTAATGGTTAGGTAATTTCCAAACTTACCAACAGCCATAATTGTGGAGTTCCTGAGAATTCTTAATTTTTCTGGAAGAACAAAAATTGTTAAAATTATGTGATCAATGTAGTCAGCAATAAAATGTTATTAGCTCAAAAAAATGGCTGCTACTTATTTTCTGTGTCTATTTTCCCATCACTATACTTTGCAAAGATGATTATATTTAATCACCTGCAGAGTTAAGAAAAATAAACATTGTTATTTTAAGTAAACAAAAAACTCAGGATTTGAATTTAGGACTAGTGGGTACCAAAATCTGTGTTCTATCCTTATGTATATCACGGGTATAACCAAAAGAAAGGCATTCAAAGATTAATAAAAGTGCAAGGAGAATAAAATTGGGTTCTATATCAGGATTCTTTATATTTTTAATTTGGAGAAAAAGCTTTTTTTTTCTACCGTCATCAAGAATGAATTTCACTTATAGAATAGATAGCACTGCTCCACATGATCTATTAGGTTAACTTTAGCCATAGATGCCGCAGAAAATATTATCAATTTTCCATTTCAGTAGGAAGCACGAAACACTGATTTGCCATGTTGATTCTACATCTGTTTCTATGGCATGTTCTGTAAGTGATTTTCTTTTATGTCTTTTGGTAGAACATCAATATGCAGTAATTTAAATGAACTTACCACCACTCTGGCACAACAACAACGTTTTCAACGTTCTCAGAGGCAGTGGGTTTAGTGATGTCGTAGGATGGTGGATAAGCAATATACTGCATGATTTGTGGAATGTAATACCAAGCAGCAAAGGGATAAGCATCAAGTTGGTAGAATTGTTGGAAAGGCTAGAAGGAAAGACCATTGAAAAGCAACAATGTATGAACAATTGTTGTTTTGAATCTCTGAAAATGAATCATTTCATTCATTTCTGACATGGCTATTAACGACACAAGAGATGATTGTGAGATCTCTGGAAAGAAAAAGAATCAAAGTTACTTTCGAAGTCTGACTGAAGCTTCAAAGTTGGAAGAAGCAACCTGTTTGAAATACTTTTCATTTTAGAGATTTGGGAAGCAACACTGATTTTGCCAATCATATTACCTGGAGTCAATTTCTTCTGAGACATATGGGACATCTTCAACAATCTTTATAAGATTCACTAAATGGCAAGTAGTAGTTGGAGGGCTCCATGGCTGGTATGGATCTAACCTGACTGTTCACAGGAATCAGAACTGTATGGCAACAAATAGTTCATAGTGTCTGCTTATTGCCTTAAAAATGAAATCAGAATCCCTAGGAACACTGAGGAATCAATGGAATTTAGGGCAGGGGAAAAACTGGCATCTGTTATGTATTACTGACAATCTCATTTCACAGATGAGAAAACAAGATCAGAGAGTATTTTGGCAGAGACATTCAGTATCTCTCCAGATGGTTTCTTCAGAAGAAATGTGTGTCAACCAGTTTGAGTTTGAAATTCCTAAATATAAACTGAATTTTATTTTATTTTATTTATTTTATTTTATTTTTAAAGATTCCACTGATTTATTTGAGAGAGAGAGAGCATGAGAAGGGGGAGAGGGAGAAGAAGGCCCCCCACCGAGCAGGGAGCCCAATGTGGGGCTCAATCCCAGGACTCCAGGATCACGACCCTAGCCGAAGGCAGACACTCAACTGACTGAGCCACCCAGGTGGCCCTAAACTGAATTTTAGAAACAGATCATGGACATAAAGATATAAAATTAAGAAATATGTTAGAAGAGAAATTAATGTAACCATGGAGATTAACACTTCATAGTCCTTATGACTATAAATACATTGTTCCCATCAGCTGAGACACAGACTGGCACAGCTCCCATTCCAAAGAATAGTGAAAAGTAGTTCTAATCTCTCAGATCAACTAATATAAATTATCACTGAAGTTGGGAGTGAGAAAAAACTGCTGGAGAAGAAAACAATCACTTCCAAAATGTGAGGCTTTTTAAAAACAAACATATTTAAACTTGACACTATATTATTACTGTGTAATTTATTAAGCAAAATGTTACCAGTTGGAGGAGGTTGTGTTCCTTCACTCTGCGAAGGTGTTGCTGTATAAAAGGAAATAAAGTACATTCTTACTTAGACATCTGGTACAACACATTCATTTTACAATGTACCAAGAACATAGCATCATCTGTGAAATTTAGGATAAACTGTATTCTATGCCAGAATTATGAAGAAGTAGCAAAACACTTTTTATTTTTCAACTTCAGAAAAAAATATTCAAGTAAGGCTAGGATTACTATAGTTTGGAAAAACAAAGAATTTGTAAGGTTCATATACTGGGAGAAAATAAACTACCAATTTTCTAAGACTACATATTTTCTGTTCATGGCTACTTATTAATCATTTATTTAAATTTGATCTTTGGTAAATTTTTAAATATCAGGTATGGTTAGTAGAACAACTTATCTCTTGAGATATATTTCTGTTAAAAAAGAGAAGCACATAGTATAAAAACATAACACATGAAGGAAATATTAAAGTATTCTAGATTTAATAAATAATCTTACCTGGTTATGGATAGCTTCCTAAGGAAGAGAAAACATTTTATTTTAGTATATTGAGTTTATTCATTTATGAATAACAAACATTTACTAGGTACTTTCGTTCATTCAGGGATGACTATGCTAAGCACTGAGGATACAACTATGAAATACGATGAATACCATTAGCAAGACCAGTATAGTAATAATAGTTGTGAAGGTTACCGCTTAGCCATATCATAGCTAAAATAGTAAAATATATCATTCCAGTAATTTCTTAGATCAGTAATGGTGAATTCCAGTGGGGTACTGATATATTTAAATTTATTTGGACTTTATTTTAAACACAAGCAACTTGGACACCGATATAAGAGTAACAATTGAGGTCCAAATTAAATTCATTATTGGCTTTCCTCTTCCTACATTCATAACAGAAGAAAATGAAAAATGTAATTTTGCTGAACTAAGATAGAGCTTTTTCCCTAAAGTCCTAATTAAGTTGATTTGCTGTAACTAAAAGTAAGGTTTTTTTTTCTCCCAAGTGAATGACTTTATAATAATCAAAAGGATCAAAACTAAATGGTTGTGCTGATTGATATGTTTTTGATCTATTCATACACTCAGCATGAAGAGTTTAAGGCATTATAGTTCAAATGCACATCGTGATTAAAAAAAAAAACCACCTTCATAATGTTTTCAAGAAGTTCATGAGCACAGCAAATTTTATAGAGACTGAGAAGTTGGGGGAGGAGGAGAAGGAATGAACATTTTATTGGACTTGCTACAAGCCAGACTCAGGGCTAGCTGAGTAGGTGATTGCTAATTCAATATTCAGAATAACACCAGGGAGCGAGAATAACTGTATTTCCATTTCACACACATAAGGAAACAAGTCCAGAGACAATTAAGTTCAACTTGACCATCCTTTCTTAGAGAGTTTTGACAAAAACAATCTGAGGGGCGCCTGGGTGGCTCAGCTGGTTGGGCGACTGCCTTCAGCTCAGGTCATGATCCTGGAGTCCCGGGATCGAGTCCCGCGTCGGGCTCCCTGCTCAGCAGGGAGTCTGCTTCTCCCTCTGACCCTCCCCCGTCTCATGCTCTCTCTCTCTCATTCTCTCTCTCAAATAAATAAATAAATAAAATCTTTAAAAAAAAAAAACAATCTGAATGTTTAGGACTTCCGATTCCTCCTACAGAGTCTATACTATTTCCTTAAATGGAAAGTTACTTTGGCACATCTGTGCTCTCATGAGCAGGAATGTTTATGGAGTTCCCAACCAGGGCTGGCTTTGGGAAAATAAACACATGATAAAGTCCTGAATATAATGCATCATCACAGAGATTATAAAAGGATTTGTAACGGAATTTAGTCAAAGTAAATTTCTCCGTGGTTAGTAATTATGGATAGGATACACAGCATTAGTCTAGGCATAAATAGAAAAAAATGGCTTTGACAGTAAATATATAGGCGATCATATGAATACTTTTTGAATTATTATTAACTACCAAGGCTAGCATAATTTCTCGAGAAAGGTGAATACATCTTTCGAAGTGAACCCAACTTAAACTTTAATGTATTTTAATTCTGCAGAATATGATTTTGTATTATAATAAATAAAATATTACCAGCTGTTGTTTGTTGTATTTGCTCAGTCTACGAAGCTGTTCCTATTCAAAAGAAAAAATATTCTCAGTTGCTTGGATAACCATTCAGTACAACCCCATCATTTTCAAGTAATGAAGCTAGGATCCTACAATGCTTTTCCCAGAAGTAAAGAATGAGGAACTATTAATCCTACTTCAGTGTTATTTCTACCACAAATAATTTGGACTAAATCAATTATTTCCTTTCAAAACATTAGAAAAACTACTTTCTTAACTTACTTTAAGCTTAAAAAAAGTTAAAATACAGTTAGATATAAGTGAGTATTCAGGCAATTTTACTTATAAAGTATCTTGTGTCAGAATTACTAAGAAAATTAAAAATGATTTTTGCTTTCTGACCAAAGATTTAAACTTGGTCAAATGAAATAAAAATATTAGATGAACTGGGGAAGAAATTATGATGTTTCTGATATTAGCCACATTTATTTATCATTTACTTTACACTATGGATTGTATTAACTGCTTTCACATCATTTAATATTTATTACTGTCATTTTAGAATTTAGATTATAGACTTATAGCAGATAAGCAAACTGTCCAACATCACATGCTGGGAAAAGGTAAAGCTTAGGGGCAAATTCAAGTCTGGCCAAATCTACAGACTGTCACTTAAATACTAGGCTATTCAGATCCAAAGCAGACTATACAACACAAATATTCAACTGAAAGTGTGAATTAAATACCTGGGATAAAAAAGTTGTTAGTGTTATTTTCAGAGAGGAATCAGCCAATATCTAGAGTCCATCAGACTACTTGTTATGGGTTAAATTTTAGCAGATAATGAGAATGAGAAATAATTTATCAATATAACATTCTTATTCCTTGGTACATTTGCCTTTGATAAGCTTTTAATGAAATTTTACCAGATAGCGTTGGTAGAGTGTGTCTTCTCTTGGAATTTGCTTATGCTAAACAAACAAACAAAACATATATATACATATATATATATATATATATATATATAATTTGTTTATGTAAATTGTAACATATCTTGGATAATGGTATATTTTAAATTTAACAAATATATCTCACCTCAGTGTTATTGGGAACAACTTCCTTCAAAAAAATAGAAACAACACACTTTTAATTTTATGACTTATTAGTTTATATTTAAGGTAAGCATACTAATTAACCAGACACTATTACTAAATAACTGTGGTTAACTGATTTTAGCCACAAATTCCTGCATAACTGAGAGAAGATGAATAATTTGAGATACATGTTATATCAATAATTCCTTTTTTCTTCTCTGTGCTTTCACGAGGGAGGTTATTCAGAATGTTGAAGGTGGATATAAAATATTCACCTTTACTGAATTCACAGAAACTCCACATAATTGGGTTGGTTTTATTTTGCGATTTGGGTGAAAGTCTCCTAAAATTAATGGCAGGACCTCAACACCTTCTATGCCTGCAATTTTTTTTTCTTTAGGATACCAAGAGGCAAAGATTTATGATTAATTAACCTAGAATTGGTTGATTTCTACACAGGTTATAACATGTTTACATAATTGATTTAGAAGCATAGTCATTATTATAATTTTTAATGACAAGATTGAGTTCTACCAAAATCTGGCAAGGGCAAAATAACCATGAAAAAAAATGTTTGGACACCACAGATGGCCAGATATGATTGTTTGCCCAAAAGCAATTCTGTAATTTTGTCTCTGACAAATAATTGCTTTCTTAAGTCTGCTGGGCTAATAGTCACATGTGTTAAAATTAGAATCAAACCATATACATAGCACCTTGTGCAATGAGACCTCATAAAATATGTAACCTTCATGGTACAACAAGCTTTCATAAATGTTTCCTAACTAATTGGGATATTGAATTAACATAAAAATCATTTACCTCACTTGATGAACTGCTGCTAGATTGCTTTTGCTAAGAAAAAGAAAACCAGTGTTACTGATCGTGGGACTTTTACAATTGGAAGGAAACTAGTTTTACACTTTCATCCTGGGTTGCTAACTCTTGGTTTCCGGTTTGAAAAAAGCAGTTTGAAAAGCTTCAGGGCCAATATGATGTATTTTTTTGAGTGTCAATTTTATTTAAAATATTTGGAGGGAAGAGGATAATAACTTGCCCAATAACTTAAATGTTTTTTATTAAAATAAACACAGATGTATGGTGGAGTATGATGCAAAGTGGATTTTTGTGATAAAAATGAAGTTTAATTGTACATTCTTGGATATAATAGTACTATTTGAGAAGTTTAATCTTGCTCACTTTGAGAAGATAGTTTTGCTAACATAAAGCATACAGCATATACTACATATGATATATAAGTGCAGTGTTTATAAAAATAAAGGTGTCTTACCTCAGGGTCTTCCATGGCCTGTCCCTTAGGAAAAGAAAAAAGAATTAATTTTATGTTTCATGATAAATATTCAAATGTAAAATAATAATAACCAAATAGTTTTAAAACAAAGGATCGTTCCTCAGTTGATTTATTCTTATTTATTCTTAGTATTCTATCAAGAAAAGATAATCATTCGGGTATGAAGGATAGGAGATATATTTGTTTTATAAATTTTGAGCATCTGTGTGTTCTCTTTTTTTTTTAAGGTTTTTTTATTTATTTATCAGCGAGAGAGAATGGGAGACAGAGAGCATGAGAGGGGGAGGGTCAGAGGGAGAAGCAGACTCCCCACCGAGCAGGGAGCCCGATGCGGGACTCGATCCTAGGACTCCAGAATCATAACCTGAGCTGAAGGCAGTTGCTTAACCAACTGAGCCACCCAGGCACCCCTGAGTGTTCTCTTAATACTAAATCTATTAAAAATCTAGTAGACAATCCAGATTTTAAAAATCATGTTTAAATAAAGTGAATAATCAATTGTAACTATGTAAAACATTCTTGGAGCAGATATATTGCTTTATGTAATAGCCCGAATGAAGCATTTCTTCAGCTTTGGCAACAAGTACAAATAATTGACCAGTCCATAAGTGCATCCATACATGCACACATTCCTTCCTTCCTTCCTTCCTTCCTTCCTTCCTTTCTTCCTTCCTTCCTTCCTTCCTTCATCCATTCATACTAATGTTTTGTCTCCTCATAGCTATAAAGTAACAATAAAATCAGTATTCTTTAGAATTCTCCGCAAAATTCATTAGTTATTTTGAATGTCTGACTGAAAAGTTCAAGGAAACTATAAATGCCATAGAATAACTATTTTTTTTCTGAATTAAAACAGTTTTCCTATTGCAAGACTACATTTTTTTTTGCCATACTATTTAAAGAAAGTTTTTGGTACCTTGAGTACATCATTGTGTTTTTCTCTCAGAAGTTCTTTCTGCTGAAACCAATAAAGTATAGCTTATAAAATCTATTTTTGAAAGAACAAACTTTTAAAATAGTTTAAATATCATTGGTGTTCCTTACCTTGCTCAGTTCACTGAGGTATTCCTGAGGGATAAAAAAAAAAAGAGAAACAACATTCATGCACAGGGACATAAATGAATGAACATCTATAAGAAAATGTACCTTGCATTGTTCTGCTGCAACTTAAAAAATAAATGTTTCTTATGAATGTACTAATATTTCTTGCTATATTACTTCTAATATTAGTTTCTCTTTGCTAAGCCTTCTTTGCCTAAGCTGTATATAAATATGCACTTAAATAATAAAAAAAAAATTGTCCTACTACATTTTATTGTTATCTTTCATCTTGTTTTAGTCATAGTTCTGAGTTCTCTTGATCTCATCTGTCTGGTTCAATAAGCCTATTTCCATAAAAAAGCAATAAAGAAGTGGACAACACAACACTTGCTTCTCTTGGTTAACTTGACAGTGTATCTTGTGGAGACTTCCTTACCTCTCTTAGCTCTCTTGATGTAGGCTACAAAAAAAAGAAAGAAAAAAGAAAGAGAGAGATGGGGGGGCGGGAAGAAAGAAAGAAAGAAAGAGAAGAAGAAAGAGAGAAAGAGAGGAAGAGAGAAAGAAAGTGAAAGAAAGGAAGAGAGAAAGAAAGGAAGAAAGAAAAAGTGAAAGAAAGAAAAATTATGTTAAAAATCACTCAAGCAAAGTTGGGTTGCCTATCAAACTTTTAAAATAGTGGTCTTGAAGTAAAATTTCTATTTATGTTTTATTTGATAATTAAGTCACAAAACTATAGAAAACACAATACATAAAATGGTATTATTTAGAGATAGAGAATGTTCCATCAGAATGTGTATGGAAATTACGTGTTCTGACTAGGTTATGCAAAGGAAAGCATGCGTGTTTGTAAAGAGGCAAATGAACAGGTACAAATTAAAATTTAAAACAGCTCTTTAATATTTGAATATCTGGTTTTAATATTCTTTGTGGGTGCCTGGGTGACTGAATGAAGGGAAGATTTGATCAAGCCAAGTGAAAAAAAATTTATAAACCAAAATTAAAGTAAATTTCCCAGAAAAACATGTTTGTCTTTTTTTTTTTTTAAAGATTTTATTTATTTATTTATTAGAAAGCGAGTGAGAGAGAAACAGCATGAGAGGGGGGAGGGTCAGAGGGAGAAGCCGGCTCCCCGCCAAGCCGGGAGCCCGATGTGGGGCTCGATCCCAGGACTCCGGGATCATGACCTAAGCCAAAGGCAGTCGCTCAACCGACTGAGCCACCCAGGCGCCCCAAAACATGTTTGTCTTTTAAGAAGAATAAAAGGATAATACTCACCAGGGCAAACTTGGGAAACTGTCTTTCTTTGAGAACTTCCTGTAGAATTAAATTGTGAAGGATGAAAAAAAGGAAAACATACCCAAAAAGGAGCATGTTTGTCCATTTGAATGCAAGTTATCAATTTTAATTAGGTAAACCAACATATTTCTTAGGTAGAAGAAAAGATAATTAGTTTTGGTTTTATGATCTAATTTTTAAAACTAAAGAGACATTCTATTTGATTCCTTTTTGACCAGGCCTAGAGATTTAGTAAGTCTATGCTTAACAAAATGTTAAAGGAGGAATTAAATGAGGGTTTAGTCAAAACAGAGTTTTGAGAGAGTAAAGTAGCTGAGTACGTGGATACATTTGAAGATAAATAAAAACTGGAGTGAAGAAGACATTCACCGTTCATCACAGCTAACAAAAAAGGTTGGGGGCCGGAAGGGGGGAAGAGCAAGAACCTTACCTCTCTGTAGTCTGGTTCATTCTGCAAAGAATAAGAAAAATCAATAAAAAGGTATTATTCAATCAGTCAACACAGTGAAGGATCAATGGCTCTTGCAGAAACATGTGGTAGAGGTATCTAATTTAAGATCTGGTGTGCAAAATGAAATCAAATTATAAATCACATGTTAGAGTGCAAGCAGAAGAGAAGGAAGCAAGAATACATTAAAATAAATCATGTTAACATATTCTGCTTAATTATTTCTCTTGAATATTAAGGTTTTTATTAACCATGAATTTTTATCTAAGTCCATGTGCCCTCTTCTCTAACAAAGTTTGTGAAAACAAATCAAAAGTTGTCAGCACATGAACTGAAGATATTGTAGCTCAGTGACTGTGAAACTGTTTTATAGAGAAGAGAGAACAGGTCTAGGGTCAATGTGTTATCAATACATCATCGCTTAAATTCCATATTTGGAGGGAGTTCTTGGAACATAGACTAGAATACTCACTTGAATGAGTTCTGGGTGTCTAAGAGGAAGTTTCTGTGAAAAACAATAGAGAATTGTAAAACAAAACAAAAAAAGCAATCAAAATACAATAATAATAATAATACCACAATACACATATACTATGAATTTAAACATTGCTATTTAAGAAAGGTTCATATTTTAATAGCTAAATTTATCTGAAACCAAGTTTCCCTGGGAACAAAAAGGAAAAAAAAGGAACCATAACTTTTATTAACAAATATCAAAGCAAAATAGACTAATTATTTTCTCCTTAGAATATGGCAGAAAAAAAAAGACTAAAAAAAATTCTTAGTTTAAATTAATCCAAGGTGATAAGCTACTTAGTTTTCTGAACTATTTACATTACATGAGGGCTCTAAAGGTGATTTTAAACCATTATAAATTTGTGGAGTAAAATGTATGCTTTCCTAATTAAATGTTTGTCCAGATATTATTTTTATCATCAACTACATTATATAAAAATTTTTCTCAATCTACACTCTGACTCTGGGGACAAGGCTTAGGTTGATTAAATGATAGCATAAAAAAATCTGATGTTTTCTTTGGAATAAGGGGTCGAATCTGTTTTCTGAGGAAACTTGATTAATTTCATTTGTAAAAGGACAAGAGAAGAACTACTCCAATGACACATTTCTGAGGACTTGGATCTTTTTCCCTAACTTTAAGTCAGAGATCTCTTTCTATTGGTGCTTAGAGTGCAACATAAACAAAGTTCTATTGGGTAAGAAGTTCAGTTACTGGTGATTTCTCATTATCCTAATAGGGATTTAGAGAGTAAGAGTCTCATCAATAGAATCATGTGTCAGCACTTCAGAAACTTTTGCTTCTGTGTTTGATAGTTGCAATGTCCAAATACCCCAGATCATTATTTTATGAGTTACTTTCTCGTCAGGCGATCCTTGTTTATTCCTCCCTCCTTCATTAGCTCCACATCACAAGGGAACAGAATAACACGTTGCTTCATGTAACTAACGGAATAGCTTTTTTTAAAAAATTATTTTTGAGAAGAAAGGTTCTTTTCATTACATTATCTAGTTTCACTGTCTATGGTGACCACAATAACTTGACCTTTGAATCAGCAGAATCAGCCTCATTTTTTATACATTGGGAAAGAATTGGTTGACACAGGCTGTCTTAAATGAGGATTGACTTTGTTTCCAAAAGTAAAATACACTGGAACATGTGTCTTTATGTTATATTTGGTAAGGAAAACTGAGACCTATTATATGTCTACAAATATGTTAATTCTGTGATGACCCAGGGAAAGAGCCTAATTTTATTCTTTGCTCTTATTTATTATCTTGTGAATACATTCTTTTTTTTAACTTTTCATTTTTGATTTTTTTTATTGAGTAGTGCTTATATTTCAAGTCAGACATTTTATTTAGAGTTAAGGCTTGTGAAGCATTACCACAGTTTTAATACCAAGCCTTTAATTAGAGATCATCCCATGCTTTAAGATCATTATTCTCTATATTTTGTGTTTGATAAGATATCAGGTCATTTCTAACAAGAATCTACAAGCTTCTAAAGTCTCTACTATACTCACAGGCCTGGCAAGAACAACAGCCACAAGGCAGGTAAGGATGAGAAACCTCATGATTGTCAAGACCTATATAAGAGAAATAAAAAGGAGTTAGATCTTCTAATAAAATGAAAAAGAAATCCTTGATTTTCCAACAAAGGAAAATTTATGCTAAAATACGTTCATTTGAGAAGTGGTATTTTAATTAACATGATTTTTAAAATTTTGCTATTCAGTATAAATTTAGTTTCTGATTCCAGTTATCTTGCTCGGTGCTTATTTTAAGAAATACCAATTTCTTACCAATATTTTTATCCACTAACATTCTAAAACAAAACATTTGGTTCTTGAATATGGTAATATGGTTTTGTCAGAGGACTAGAGAATAATGAATATTTAAATACAATTTTAAAAAACCCAAACTTTTCCCTCTAGATCATCAGATTTGCTAGGAGGGTAATAAATTGAAATCCAGTAAGAGCTAGCATTTAATTTTATCTGAAAATTTTAGAAAATGTCTTTCTCCTTTAAATCTATCTCAGAGCATCCTGCTCTTTCAGACTCTTCAGGAGAAATGGTATCAGTGCATTATGTAGAAACTGTTAACCTCCATCAGTTATATTTTTAAAAGAATCTGGCTATCACTTCATGTTTTGCTACACTGATATATCCATGACATGACTGTATGAAGATGATTGGACAGAATCATAAGATTCAGATGTCTTGTTATGTTTGATTTCCAGAGTTCCATCAAATTGCAATAATCTATAACTACTGATACTTAAATGTGGTAGGAAAATGGTTTACAGAGAAATTTTTTAAATAAATCATGTTATACATGCAATTTGTTTATGCCTCAGTCAACAAACTAATACTGACATTTTTATATATACTACTTCAGTTTACAAACTGTATAATCTAAACATATTAATAAAGAAGGCATATTTATAAACCCAAAATGAATTTACTATCTTTATCCATTTGCATCATTTCAAATATCCAAATTAAACCATCTTTACAAAAAGTAGTCTTTTATATCTATCATTGACATACCTTTATAGAATTAATTTTGTTAGCCAAATGATATGAAATAAAATTGGCTTTGAAATACTGTACCAGAAATGGTCTCTGTTATAGTAATTAAAAAGACCAGAAATTATTTTGCATAATGAGTTTCCATGGAATTGGGCAAAATAATTCAAACTATTTTCCCACAAGTCTCTACTGAAATTATGCATCTGCTTTTTCAATATATAAGGTTTTAGTTACTAAGTCATCAAAAAATGATTTGGTCTTTATACTATATTAACTTTTCACCTAAAGATCTGAGATGGATGGTGACAAAATTTACAAATGCATCTCTAAGCTACCAGTATATCATAAGAAGGTATCAATGTTTGCAAACACTTAAAAAAGTTACAAATGCATCTTAATGAAGAATGAAAGAAAGATTGGACAATGTGAAATCATAGTAATTTTGCCAAATGTAAAGACAATACCTTGAACCCAAGACTGGGAAGAAGAAGCAACCTTGGTAGATGATCAAGGTGATGGCAGATGTCTTTGCTCCACAGCTATTTAAACCTAGTGATTAGTAAAATGTTAATTTTGTGGTTTCAGTTCAACCAATAGTTTTATTTAAATTCTAAGAATTCTCTCAAATAGGAAATTAATTTTCAGTCTAATTTCTCTCCCCAGAAATTCTGAGGAGAGTTTCCAACAATGGAGTGATTCATACTATGATAACAGATTATACAGGAAATGGAATAATAGTATTCAAAATTAAAATACAAAATTTTCTAGATTTATTGTTATGATAGGAACATGATTTTATGTTAAATGGATAATTGGAAAGACCAATATGGCAATAAAATTCTCTTTTTTATATTTGGAAAATCCAATACCTATAAAGAAAATTCTTGGGACAAATTAAGGTCTTCAAATTTTTTCAATTTTTATCAACATACTAGAACATGAGAAGAATTCATTATTTATTTCACCTTTTAAAACTCAATTTGTAACATATTATTTGTTTTAATTATTCACTTTATGGGGTAACCTACATTGTATGTGCTCAAATCTTTTTTTCCAAAAAAGAAATAAAATTATCCTATAAATTTTGGTGGCATTTTAAGTACATCACATAATTTTTTGCTTGCTTTGTTTTGGGAGTACTAGTTGTGATAGCATTCAGTAATTGAGTTATTATATTGTTTAATTAAAAGTAATCATTATTCAAGAATTAAATTTTTAATGTTGCAAAAAGTAAACCATATCTGTGATTTCTCCATCCTTTAAAGTAAATAAAAGGAGAAAAAATGAAAGTCCCTCTCTCTAATCCCTAATTCTACTCCTAGAATGAACTAGCATCATATATTCTAGAAAAAATATTACATGATGAAGAAAATATCCATACATAGAGAGGGCTTTTAAAAGTTATTACTGTTGATTATCAGTGCGTTTTTACCAGAAAGGAATCATACTATATATTTTAAAATTAAAAAAATAAACTATAATGATATTTACAGCCTAGTCACAATCATAAGACAGGAACATTATTCTGAGTTAAAAGAAATACCAGGGTGGTTCAGTCTCTCTACAACAGCAATCAGAGGAGACTGTGGTTTTCCATGCTAAAGCTCTCTTGACATAGTATCTTCCTTGCTGACTACATCATATCAATTTTAACAACTTACTAGTGTTTTCTTTTTTTTTTTAAGGTTTTATTTATTTATTTATTCTTCAGCGAGAGAGAGGGTGCACAAACAGGGGGAGCTGCAGCCAGAGAGAGAAGCAGACTTCCCGCTGAGCAAGGAGCCCAATGCGGGGCTCTATCTCAAGACCTCTGGATCATGACCTGAGTTGAAGGCAGCCACTTAACCAACTGAGCCACCTAGGCGCCCCTTACTAGCGTTTTCTATTTACAAGCATACCTTGGAGATATTACAGGTTGGGTTTCAGACCACTGCAATAAAGTGAATATTGTAATAAAGCGAGTCAAATACACTTTTGGTTTTCCAGCACATATAGATAGCAGTTATGTTTACATGGTGCTGTTGTCTGTTAAGTGTGTAATAGCATTATGTTTAAAAACCAATGTATATACCTTAATTTAAAAAATAATTAATTGCTAAAAAACACTAACCCATCATTAGACCTTTCAGCGAGTCATCATCCTTTGGCTGGTGGAAGAGGGTCTTGCCTTAATATTGTTGGCTGCTGACAGATCAAGGTGGTGGTTACCAATGGTTCGAGTGGCTCCCGTAGTCTTGCCACATCGGATGACTCTTCCTTTCACATAGGATTTTTCTGTCATGTGCAATGCTGTTTGATAGCATTTTACCCACAGTAGGGCTTCTTTCAAAATTGGAGTCAAACCCTGTTGCTGCTTTATCAACTAAGTTTATTAATATTCTAAACCCTTTGTTGTCATTTCAACAATCTTCACAGTATCTTCACCATGAGCAGATCCCATCTCAAGAAACCACTCTCTTTGTTCATCCATTAGAAGCAATTCTTCGTCTGTTTAAATTTTATCATGAGATTGCAATAATTCAAGTACAGTAATAAGGAAAAAGTTTCAATTATTGTGAGAATTACCAAAATATAACACAGAGACACGAAGCGAACAAATGCTGTTAGAGAAATGGCGCTGATGCACTTGCTTGACGTGGGGTTGCCACAACCTTTCAATTTGTAAAAAAATGCAATATCCACAAAATGCAATAAGGTGAAATGCGACAAAATGAGGTATGCCTGTACTCTGATTCATTCAAGGGAGTGAGGACAAGCATCCTCAGCTGCATTATAATGCCATACTTTTGTCTTTTCTCAGTAGTGTATCCAGAATGATTGACTAATTTTATGCCTTACTCAGAATCACACTGTAGAAAAATCTACTGTGATTTATAAAAAGCTACTGTATCTTCATTTGTTTATTTATTTTTATTCATTTATTTATTCACGGAGGTGGAGAAACTGGGCAAGGTACTGGGGATATAAAAATTGAGCAAGACAAAATAACTGGCCTAGTATAATGGTGGGTAATTAACACACAAAAAGCAAATAATTTTATTATTTTTGATAGACCAAAAATAGAGATTTGAACAGGACCTCCAGAATACCTATGAACAATTCTGTCTGGAGGCCATACTTTTTGGAAATATTTGATAGTAATAAGGCTTGTCATCAAAAGGAAACAATCAGACTTTTAGAAATATCTAAAAGTCTGCATCTAAGGCAAGGCACCTCTCAGTGAATTTGTGTATCTACCATGGGACTTCTCATGAACTCAAAATCCAAATTTTTCTATCTATAATCCCCAATGGATAAGGATTTATCTCCACATTGTCCGAAGTAGGTATTGAAAATAGTTGATTAGGTTGTAATTTTTAATAAAACATTTTATCATTATAAAATATAACTGTTTACTATATTTTGAGAAAACATGGTTTCATGTGTTCATTGTAAATTTGTACAATGCCAAGTCCTGAAAAATCTTAGCCTAAATTCACTTGCTTTTATTGATATTTTTTATTTGCTTTATCAAAAGTTAAATTTGATCAGTTCCAGCCATTAAAATAAAGCTCAGGTTTGAAACACATTTGGACCATTTATAGTCTGATGGGCCTTTGCCCTATGAGTAAAGAAAAAATGAGATTATTACCTGAATATCAATTTTCTTTTATAACAGAGTCACATGCAAGGTGAACATATAACTGATCATTATAATATTCATAATATTCATAATATTCACATTCATAATAATGAAATGTTCTGCTCTTAGTAATTATAATAGAAAACAGACATAAACAGACATAAACTAGGACAATTTTAGGCACACCACTCTAATAATATCACACAACTGGCTTTGAACTTCCACGAGTCCCTAAACAAATGAAAGTGGAAACAGGTTAGTTAAAGGGACAACTAAATAGAAAGCTTTCTTGTTTTCCAGTTTTTCAATATTGGAAAAATTTTTTCTTTCTTAAATTCATACTTATTAGTAAAACTAATTAGCGCAAAAATGAAAAGAAATATCATAGCAATAGACATAGATTTTGAAAACTTACTAAGTGGTAAACTTTACTATGCGAGGTTATTTATATTGTTGCAGCATGTTCTGGTCCAGACTCACACCTCCTTTGGACGACTCACTTGCGTGAGACAGTCAATAATTCAGAACATAAAGTTCCAAAATTAGTTTGTCACAGTTCTCTCAGGAACATTTGGCTTTATGGCTGGTGAGACTTCTAGGAAAGTGTCCGTTAACTATGTGACAAACAGCTAACCTTCCAGAAGGAAATCTACTGAGAAATGTGAAAGATACTTTTGTTTTTCTCTAGAAACCCACACGTCACTTGGAACCTACCAGAGGATTCGCAATGGATGCTTAGTAACTGCTCTCAGGTATTGTAAGAACAGAACCTTGGCGCCCAGAAATAAAATGGAGTTCTTTTCAGGAAGTTGTTGTCTAGTATGAATATGTGGTATCACTGGAAATATGGAACCTATGTTTACTTTTGTGTTTGTATTCAGACAAATTACCTTTTTAGTTCTTCAGGGGCCTGTAAATAGGTCTCTGGAGATCTAAAATAAAACATACAAGCTGAGTAAAGTGGTGTAAGTGGTGGTTGAAAGAGAGGGTTTGGGGTCAGATTGTAGGTTTAAATCTTGGCTCTCATTAACCTGCTGTTATCTGGGGTAAATCACTGTGCCTCAGTGTTCTCATCTGTTCAATAACATCCGCTTTTTACATGAGAGAAAAAAAATGAAATTACACACTTCGCAGTGTGCAGTACCGGAAACAAGGGGCTCATTTAAGATTATCCATTATTAGAACATGATTTTTTAAAGGCCTCAACTAATTATTTTGTGACCAAATTATATTCCTACCTCATAGATTTGTAAACTTTTGAGAATTTATGAATTACATTTTTATATTTGTATATGCATAGAAAACGTGTAGAAAGGTAAAGACAAAATTTCTAATAGTGACCACAACTAAAGAATGTTTGGGATGGGATATGAGAAAGGAGTAGAAAAGAGAGCTTAAAATTTTTATTAATGAAATCCTGTCCTATTTGATATTTTCACAGAACAGTGAATTAGAGGGTGCTTCGCAAATTTTAATGTGCTTATGAATCTCTAAGATATCGTGTTAAATTTCAGATTCATGCTCGGTAGGCCTGAGGTGTGTATTCTTAACTGAGATACTGCATTCTTAACAAGTTTTCGGGTGATGTCATTGTTGGTGATCTATGGGACACACTTTGAGTATCAAGCAGCTAGGAGATTTGAAAATGTAATGTATAGTCTCCTCCTTTAAACTTACCAACAGTGAAAGTTTGCATATAAAGTTTGCATACTTAACAGCATGGTAAAATTGTAAAAACATGTAACATACATAGCAAAAACAGATGTTAAAAAATGCTGAATCATATTTCCATGAGATTGTTTACCTTCATAACAATGTTTAGAATAAAGCATTTTTCTTACTCAACCCTAGATTCTTCTTGTAGGTAGGATGTTCTATTAGTAACAGTTTGTCTACGGCCAACTTCTTGCCACCTCCAACCAAAATTC